TTGCACTCTAAAAAAGACCTTATGAAGTTTTATAGCTAAATAGCAGTAAGGACATTTAATGGCATATCTCAATTCAAAAAATGCAATCTATGACAAGACCATAGAAGCCGTTAAGAAATTTGACTTTTATATAGTCGCTGTAACAGCCCAGCACCCTAGCATTCTTCTTTTCACTTCTTTCTGATGCTGTAGTTTAGATTTACCTGCTTACAGATTACCACGAAGTGCTTTGAGAAACAATGCAAGCTTGAAGACTTTTTGTTCTGGTAAATTTATTTTAGGTAATGTCAGTGGCTATGTGTTGATTGACATCTTTAGATTGTGCTAGCTATTGCTGTAAGTGCCACAATAACTTGCGATCGTAAGTTAACGACAGTCCGAATGGAGGTGGAGGCATATGATGAAAAATAATCATCACTGCTTCACTACTGATGACAAGCAATGGCAAGGTTGACTATTTTATTTTTCAATCGCAGCAATGCTCTACATTGACAGTAAAAATTCGATGCTAGTGTACTTTGCTGTTTTAGGAAATAAACAAGTAGTAGCAGATAAATAGCTTCACAGCTACTCAGGTAATTGACGCGGATCTTTGCGACACCGAGCGACAATAGCGACAAAAGGCGACATCGCGCGACATTCGCGACACTTACGACATCGCGCGACATTCGCGACAACCAACGCCATTCATCTGGGTCGTTCGATACCCTTCGTTTTAGAGCGAGTTCGATGCGAATTTTGGCAAATTCTAATGATAGAAGCTAGGTTCTTCTCACCATTTGGCTAATCTATGAGCAAATATAGAAGAATTTTTTGGGCAATCATTGTGATTGTCTCTATGAACCTTGAAGTTTCTACGCAGTTTCACGGATTTCAAAGCAAAATTAGGCTAACCTTGAGAATATCCACGTTGATATTGGGTCTGATGTTCAGCGGATCACTAGGTAGAAGCATGTCGTCAACATCTGTGAAAGCTATCATATTTGCAAATGGTTTTGCGAAAAACAAGCAATTCACATGCGATTCTTCTATTCCTAAAAATTTTCAATATCAGGGCTATGGCGGCTTTCTGAAATGAAAAATTTTTTACCTCTACTCAGAACCAATCCATTTGGATTTGTATCGGAGAGAATAGGCCATTTTGGCCATGTGCGAATTATTACCAAACCTAAAATTGGCTTTAACAGTTTTTTTTTGCTTTGAGAAGAATGCCGTACCTCTTTTTTCGTATTCCTTTAAAATTTTGTATGTCGCGGTCGAAGCTGACTGTATGGGTACGATAATTTTTGTGGCCCCTAGGGCAAGCCAAGTTTCGATACCGACAAGGAGGATCTCCCAGTCGGTATAGATATACATCGGTGCCATGCATACTACGAGCTCATGACGGGGTTCTCTACAAATCCAAAAATTCAAAAATGTAATTTAGGAGATCGAAAATAAGTAGGTTACCGTAGTGGTTTTTCAGGCGTAAGTATCATAGCATCTTCTACTTCTGGGGTTGAACTGATTC